CATATATAGACTGTTAAACACTATACCCTGTCTGCGCGTCGCGCTTCGCGCTCTTGCATTGCGCAGACGGGTTAAAAAAAAATTTTACAACAAATGTAGCGAAAAATAGGTATTTTGCAGTGGCGAAGCCACTAAAGAGTTCTAAGGAGAACGCGATTCCTGCCGGCTTACCTTGCCAGACTCTAATATATTGACATTCAAGCACAAGCGAACATTGACGTATACGTTAATGCAAGCGACATAATTACATTGCGCGCTTTGTAAAAATATTCTTTAATATGCTGGATACAAAATACGCAATCATTTGATATCGCGCATACGCACACAGATCCGCGCCGCCGCCGTAGTAGACTGGATAAGCCGCTTATCTTATTGGGACTTCAAATAAATAAAATGTAAGCAATTCACGCACAAATACATATTACTACCACATGCAACCAATCGTCGATATAACAGCGATATAACCCGATCTTAGATAGCCTGCAATCTTTATTTGTCATGTGTTAAGGCTCCGTTTAGCTTGAAGTTTTCGGCCAATCGCAGACACCTGGCGCTCGGCTCTGTTGACCTGACGTAGTGAGGCCATTATTTCGCGCACATTCGCATGGACGGATTCGAATGCTAATTTATCTATTGTGATAAGTGATTAGCTTGCTTGTGGTATATATGTAGTTTAACAGAATCGAAAGTAGTAAAATTTTACTTGCCAAATGTTGCGTATAGTGTTTATTTCACCGTATAGGTTTGTTTGCTTTTTTTGTTTCTTGCCGTCACGTAGGAGTGGTGGCATTAGTACAAATAGCTTGTTATCTCGCAGATTTCCTATTAAATGAGTTAACTTCATTCCCAAAACATTCGTTCGAAAATAAAACGTGGCCATGGCCTTCGGCTCTGTCTACCCCGTAAATCCCTTACTGACGTGATACTATGTATGTACGTAGAATAGAAATAAATTAGCGGTATTTCTGCTGGTTTTTATTTGTGATGATGATGCTGGCAAGTTTCCCTTATTTTGGTTCTTTGTTTTTTTATTATTTATTTATAATCTGTGTATGAGTGACGTGTGCTTTATACGGTTTTTTGAACGCCACTTTTATCATAATCAACATGGACTGTTCATATAATACCAGTGATGTCATGTATGGTGAAGGTGGTGAACACTAACAACTATACAGCAAGCATGTTCTGTCGCATGAAAAAACTGCATACAAGGCAACGCAAGCACCATACCTAATATTTCGTTGTAGTTTTGGGAAAGGTGTACTAACACATTATTATAAGGTTTTACATACATGTACATGTACATTTTGCTTATTCACGCGTTAGTCGTTTTTTTTGATCCGGCTTTACCTTTCTTTTTTTTCACCCCACGCCACTGGTACTTTGCGATGCGCACATACTTTGCGACAGCGTTTATAGGACACTAGCTGTTGTTTGTTCTTCGAAACGTCAAAACGTCTACACGTTTTGACGTGCTACGCCTGATTCAGGAACTAAAATAAAACCAGCAGTTTAATTTATCAACAAAAAGACGTCTTCAGAAGTCTACAAAACAAAATCCCAGTCGTCAATTAAACCAACATATTAACACAAGTGCGCACAGTATGAAGCCAAAATAACGTGTAAGATAGATAGATCACCAACGCGTACGCCACTGCTACTACCTGCCCCCCCCCCCCCTCCCCCTACCCGCGCACGTAGCTTCGAATTACTTGTCGCTAAGAGCGGATGAACACACAAACAGACAGGTTTATTTTATTTTATTTTATTTTATTAGATAGCATGGAGTATAATTATATAACGTTTTTATTGAATTATGAAAATAAAAAAAGTTAGATTAGCTCTAACTAGTTGTAATAGTACTTACCATTTGATAAATACATGTATCTCCACATTACCTCGATGCTGCATATGCTAAATATGAAAAAACCCGAATATTTTCCCATTTGGGAATTTTCCCTGGGTTTTTTCCCTATTTTTCCCACATTGGGGTTTTTCCGGGTAAAATCCCATCTCTAAAGGGGGAGCTCCCATACAATAGACGCGATTTTTGCCGTTTCTTACTTGTTTATAATATTGTGTCTAAACTGTCTAATGTTGTATAGATAATATTTACGGAACCCTTCGTACGCGAGTCCGATTCGCACTTGACTGGTTCTTTATTAATGATTTTAAAAGTTTCAACTGCATTGTTGGTTATTAAAATCACACCAATTTTTTAGTAGTCCTATCTTTATACTTGGATCATCATCAACCCATGTTCGTCCACTGCTGGACATAGGTCTCCCCTAATGCACGCCACTGCTCCCGATTTTGTGCTACTCTCATCCAGCCCACTCCAGCCAGCCTACGAATATCATCATCCCATCTTGTCTCAGGGCGTCCTACACTACGTTTACCGAGTCGCGGTCTCCACTCAAGAACTTTCCGACTCCAACGTCCATCAGTTCTGCGGCTAATGTGACCAGCCCACTGCCACTTCAGTTTGCTAATTCGGTGGGCTATGTCGGTGACTTTGGTTCTCTGTCGGATTACATCATTTCTGATGCGGTTCTTCAGGGATACTCCGAGCATAGCCCTTTCCATAGCTCTCTGAGCGACTTTAAACTGGTGGACTCGTCCAGCCGTGAGTGTCCACGTCTCGGCGCCGTATGTCATAACTGGGAGGACGCACTGGTCGAAGACTTTCGACTTGAGACATTGAGGGATGGGTGACGAGAAGACTTGACGAAGCTTACGAAATGCTGCCCAGCCTAACTGAATTCTTCTATTGGCTTCTCTCTCGAAGTTGTTTCTGCCTAATTGGAGCGTTTGTCCTAGATAGACATATTCATGAACAACCTCAAGAGGTACTCCATTAACAGCAACCAGTCCCGGATCAACGAGCTCGTTGAACATGACCTTGGTTTTATCCAAGTTCATCCGGAGACCGATGCGTTTGGAAGATTCAGCCAGGCTGCTCACCATCACCTGTAGTTCTTGCAGGGTTTCAGCCAGGATGACGATGTCGTCCGCGAATCAGAGGTCTGAGATGTATTCGCCATTAATATTAATTCCACGTCTTTTCCAGTTGAGCGTTCCGAACATATCCTGCAGCGCAGCGGAGAAGAGTTTCGGGGATATTACATCCCCTTGTCTCACACCACGGCGCAGCAGGACAGGCTCGGTCTGATCATTCTGGAGTACGACGGACATATTAGCGGCGTCATACAGACATCTCAGCACCTCGATATATCGCCAATCAACTTGGCACCTCTGCAAGGCCTCAAGAACAGACCAGGTCTCGACGGAGTCAAACGCTTTCTCATAGTCCACAAACGCCATGCACAGGGGCTGGTTATACTCTTTGGTCTTCTGTATAATCTGCCTCACTGTGTGAATGTGGTCTATGGTGCCATAACCCCGTCGGAACCCAGCCTGCTCCGCAGGTTGAGCTTCGTCAAGTCTTCGTGCAAGGCGATTCGAGATGACTCTTGAAAACAATTTATAGACGTGGCTCAGGAGTGAAATTGGTCGATAGTTCTTCAGTAAGGTCTTGTCGCCTTTCTTAAAGAACAATACGACCAAGCTCCGGTGCCACGCCCTTGGAGTTCTCCCGGAGAAAAGAACACAGTTAAATATACGCCGGAGCTCCTTCAGCACCGGCTTGCCGGCAGCTTTCAGAAGCTCGGTTGTGACTCCGTCCTCCCCCGGGGCTTTTCCATTTTTAAGTTGCCCAAGAGCCGCCTCGATCTCCTCTAGGTCGATGTCGGGGAGATCCTCCGTCACATGGCGGGTTAATGTGGCTCTTAAATATAATACTTGGATAAGTGGGCAAATTTATATTATACTAGCTGTCCCAACGAACTTCGTACCGCCATAAAAAAATAGGGGTCTGTGGTAGAAGGGTGAAAATTTAGGGTTGTACTAGCTGACCCAGCGAACTTCGTACCGCCCTAAAAAAATAGGGGTTGTCCAGCGGACAAAATTGTGAATCTAAACCATTCTCAGATCCCCTTGAACACACACAAAAAATTTCATCAAAATCGGTCCAGTCGTTTAAGAGAAGTTCAGTGACATACACACTCACAGAAGAATTATATATATAAAGATGTATTTTGTATGATATATTATAAAAAAAAACCAAAAAAAATGTCCAAAAAAACTTTAAAGGTGGACCTTAACATTAAGGGGGATGAAAAATAGATGTTACCCGATTCTCAAACCTGCTGAATATGCATATAAAATTTCACGAAAATCGGTCGAGCCGTTTCGGAGTAGTTTAATTACGCACACCGTGACCCGAGAATTTTATATATTAGATAAAGTCACACGGCGCGATTGCCTCCCGCGTCCGCCTTCGCCTCGGGACCGCAACTCGCGTATAATATTGTCAAATTGTACGTGAAAGCCAAAAGCAAAACTCACAGCGCGATTTGCGCCCGCATAGCGCAACGCGACGGTATTCGCCTGATCTCAAAGCCGCGGGGCCAGGGGGCCGCAAAAGTTTCGTGAGTTTTTAAATAAAACAGTTCTGCTGCTGCCCGCGGCGGGTGCGGGCAAATACCGTTCAGTGAGTTCTTAGCTTTATGACATATGATATTACACGAAAGTCATTACTCGAATTCGGGCACCCAAAGCAATATTTACACTGGAATACGGGCTGGAAGATGGTGTCGTGTAACCAAAACGAAAACTACCCGAATACGGAGAACTGGACTCCGTTCGTTTGCATTTAGTCGTTCACCCGAATTCCATTGGCAACCGACCAAGTGTAATTGAGCCATGAAGCGACAAAGAAAGTCATCAATACATTACCTAAAGAACTGTAAAATTTATATTGTACTTACTAACAATTCTCCAACTGTTATCATTGATACTAGCAGGCCTTACATGGCATAGTTACACCTCATAATTTGTGTGCATAAGTTTACGGATAAAATTAGCGATACTTACATTATATCTAGTTAGTATGTAATTAATGATAATGTTCATGAATAAAATATATTTTCATATTGCAGAACTTTCCTGTACCTGATGTTCATAATAACATTGGCGGCGACTGTTACTCGCGACACTTTGTTGAACACCTTTTCTATAACTGCTGACATATCAGCCGTACGTGTGCTCCTTTTAGCAGGCTTGTATGTAAGCTCCATGAGCTCATGTCTTGGAGCTATGTATGGGACACCTCGAGTATTACAGAGTATTGCTAATGAAAAAGTTATACCAGGTCTTGATATCCTTGGACATGGTGTAAGTATTGATTAATTTCTGTGGAGTTCACTATTTGGGCAGAAATTTTAATTCTTGCTTATAGGCTTCCAAAATCATTGACCTGTAGTATTTCTTTTACTAATTCTCTTCATGCGTTTCTGTAAGCAGTATAAAATGCTTTTACAATTTCATTGATTGCTTCTTGTTTTTCAACATTTTTATTTGTTTTTTTTACAGAGAGGGCCGAACAAAGTTCCAATATATTCTATGGTAGTAGTAGCTATTATAACAACCACCTTCATCATCATAGGAGGCATCAACCAACTCGCACCCATCGTCACAATGCCCTTTCTTATCACATATGCTAGTATAGATTACTCTTATTTTGCACTCGCCCAGACATTTGATTTGCAACACAAACGTGAGATGAGGTAAGGCTTATTCTTTTTTTTTACAAATTTATTGATATTGTTTAGAATATTAATATTTTGTATTCTTTAATAGATCCGATGATCTAAACTAATAAGAATATTAGAATAATTTATTAATACCAAACATTCACAAGAGTACATATACATATTAACATTTTTTTACTATTATTGTAGATTTCAGGGTAACTCGCCGCGTGATACGCACGTGTACGGCGCAACAGGCAGCGATCTAGATCTATTATTCCCAGAGAGAATACGCCATAAGAATGTTGGTGTAAGTCGATAAAAACTCCCGCTTTACTTGAGATTTTAATTGAGCTTATGCAATATTTCCAATTATGAGTAAAATTTGGAAAAGAACTGTGCTGTGCAACATTTAGTTCAAATATCCTACTAATTCTATCCCTATTATATATTACTTTTATTATAAATGTGAGAGTTTGTAGTTTTATTACTCACGCAAAAACTGCTGAATAGATTTGGATGAAATTTGGTACTCATCTAGTTTGTGACCTGGATTGAGACTTAAGATACTTTTTAGTAGGATTGTAGGATTCCCAAAAAACTAAAATAAACGCAGACAAAGTAGCGTGCAGCCGCTAGTATAATATTAAAAATGTGAAAGTTTGTTACATACATTTTGACATTAAACATATTACCTTTCTGCACTCCTTTTCTATATATGAACTTTATTACTTACACATAGGTACACTTCTCCACGAGCAAAACGTGCTAAAAAAGGATGAAAAAGGTTTTCTATCTCATATTAATATAATGGATAATTTTCTTTGCAGGATTTTACTCCATCCCCAACAGACCCTGCCATAATGAATGGACGCACAGCTAACGGTGATCCAACGGCCGGTCGAAGACCAAGCATCAGCGTTCACTCTAAAAACAAGAATTGGTACTCGCATTTCTGCAATAGATGGTTATCTTTAGTTGGGGTAAGCACATCTATAGTTATATTATTATACTCTTTACTGCATCATATAGTTAAAACATATAGTAAAATACATAGTAAGCAAAGGTGGGCTTTAGAGGCTGGCTTTTATTATAGAGAGGAAAATTTTTTTTTTGTAACAAACAAACTCAAAGACCTGTTTTTTAATCTTAAAGACAAAAATTACAATACCTGTGTTGCCGGTTTATTGCAGTTATTAAATAGTGATGTACTACTTAATTGATGGATTGAGCGAGCTCAGAAAATGAAAACTGCTTGGCCAAACGGAATCAAATTTTCACGGAACCAAATGGCAACTACTCTGCATGGGACAATAATCATGTGTACATAAATTAAAAAAAACATACCGACCAAGTTGAGAACCTTTCTGAATTCAGTATAAAAATGCATGTGAGAATAAATAGCTTTTGTACGGTAGAAAATATTAAATAAAGAGAGTAATGAGAGGCCTAGTTGTAGAGATATTTTTTTTTTATATATTTTTGATTTCTTCATTAGTAAATCATGAACATGTGTAAATAATGTTGTTATTTACACACAGGGAGATTTGAAGTTCATAATAAGACAAGCATATTCAGGTATGAATTTTCACTATACTCAGATCACTAATCAGATATGAATTTTCTGAAAAGTCATCATCAGACTCGGCATCTATTACTATAATAAAAGTTCGGTAATATCGACTATACGACTTGGTTGATCGTTTTTATTCAAAATATCAATTGGAAAATATCAATAATATAAAAAAAGAATAACCGTCAAATAAAAACTAAAAAATCCGGTATCATGGGTACAACACTACATAGTAGAAGCTGATATCATTATTTGCAAACTTGACATTTACAAGTGTCACTTTTGTCTCCGAGATTAAAAAATAGACTATACTTGAATATCTTTCCCTATTAGAATAAGAACGCTGCATTATTCCTTAGTGAAATAAGCTGTATTTTATCACATTAAAATAAATTTCTCACATGCAAATTCAACCAATATCTTAATTTGGAGGTTATCTAATACATGCGTTGTTGAGCTCGCTGCTAACTTCACAACCACCAAAGTTTGATTCACACTATCCGTCTAATTCTTGCTATTGTTTTCATTCAGCTAGAAGCTTTCGTCAAATCGCTTTCTAGTTTCGCTCAAGCCCCTCAGGCTCGAAAGCTTCACTTTTAACTATTTTTTTTATGTTAAAAGGGTGGTAAACAAGATGGCCCGTCTGATGATAAGCGGCACCATAACCTATAGACGCTTGTAATTTCAAAAATATCACTCGCGCCGTTGCCTTCCCTGACCAAATCCCCTACCCCATCGAGCCCTGGAACCTTAATCACCGACAAAAACTCACCATCACCAAAAGGGAGTGTATATTCTAAGATGGAGGTTACTCCCATAAGGGCTCTCCAATTGGAGCAGATAATCCGCTATGCCCTACCTCTGCTAAAATATTTGGCTGAGCGGAGACTCTTAGAAACTTTTTTAGCCTTTCGCTTTTTCTTATAGGTACTAATAAAGCTGGTGCTGATATTCCTACCATTTCTTACAGGTACTAATAAAGCTGGTGCTAATGTTCCTAGTGAAATGGGCATACGCGTTAGGCTGCCTCGCTTTACTCTGGCTTCTGTGGCTGTACATCGGCGCCGCCAATCCCGCCGTTAAGCCGGGTCGCGCCAATGAGTTCCGCTTCTTCAGGTGGCTCAAGATATCCTTCTTGCACGCCATTGGGTAAGATTTTTTTTATTTTTTCTATAGGTCCGAGCAAATGACTCAATTCCACCTGATGTTAAGTGGCAATGGAGTTTAAACACGAAAGTAGCTGATGCAGCAGTATTATCTACCACATTACAGGTCATAGCGCACCTGACCGAGCCGAGGCGGTGCTGGTCGGGTGCCGAGTGGGTCAGGTGTGCTATGACCTTTAGCCATCCTCACCTTGCCGGGCTGCAAGTTTCCTCTTCCTTTTTTAAAGAATCCCAGGTTATAGGAACTAGGGAACACTGCAGCGAAGCACTTCACACACACAATTTGCGGATAAAGTGTCAAAAAAAATGAGTCACCAAATATCTTTGTACGCTTTAAAATGACCGCCACAGTAAGTTGGCGGTATCGTAGGCCTCTGAAGGAAAGGGGCAGGTAGGGTAAGGGAGTATAAATCCTCAGAACACTGCCATAGATGATAGCACCCGCTTAATGATGCCACATCGAGGCGTTCTTAGGAAGCTCGAGGTTATCAGTCACCTCCACATCGCGATGCTAATCGCGCACCGCTGTAACCTATCCAAAGCATTGAGTAAGTACGTGGCAGAACTACCCCAAGACGCGTACAATATTCAAAGAAGGACCGCACTTGCCTTTTTTACGTACAACAAGCACAGTTGCACAAGCGATAGCCACAAAGGCTCAGAACTGAGCGATGCAAACCGTATGCAGTAAAGTTGTAGGGAAGGTCTTTATCCAGATCCTGTTGAAAACCTTGGTGATATAAAGGCTGATGACCAGCTCCGCTTGTCGATAGCCTCACTCTTAATTTTAGTCGCGCACACAAGAAGATAACCTGTCGATCGTTTCGGTTTAAAGTTTCGTATTCAGCCGGCACGTTCCAAAAAGTAAGAGAATTGGTACAGTACAAGCGCAGAAGATAACTCCACTGCATATTTTTTTAGTACAACTCCTGGTATTCTATCGCGTCCACTGGCTTTCCGGACGTCGCTTACCGTAACTCCTCACAAACATCACGCTACCTGATTTTAATATCCGGCATCGTAGTGCCACATTTAGTTGAAGACATGCGTGAGATAAAATGCATGATCAGAGAGTCCTGCATTGTCAGTTTTGGCCAATACAGGCATACATCGGCTTTGAAAGGAACATTCTATCATCATCATCGGACCGCATCAGTCCTCTGCTAGACATATGCCTCTCCTATGGCACGGCATTAAGCTGGGTAATCAGCTTTCATCACCCAGTCATTGCCTGCTTCCTTTTAGATATCGTTTCTTTATCTAGTCGCGGAACACCCTAACAATGCCCTAGCAAACGTAATATGTTTGCCGATTCGCGGTCTACCAGAACCCATCTGCCCCAGTGGCAATCTGTTTTACTGCATGTAACACCAGCCCACTTCAACTGCAGCTTGCTTATAACTTAAAACTTTAAATCTACACATTAATTGCAGGAAAAGACCCCTAGAGTACGAGCAGTTAGTAGTTACCCCGGTGCACTCGGACATAGCCGTAGAGCAAGAGAGACTGAACGACGACAACGAGGACTTTGCGTCGCGCCGCCGCTATCACCAGTCCACGCTGCAGAGTCATCTAGTTAATGTCGATAGCTAATTTTTATCTTAATCAGAATAAATATCGTGTTATTTCCAAAAGAAAATCGCATTATAAAAGAACTACTTACACGACAAAATTAACGTCAATAGTTATAATTCAGTTCTTATTTCCAAAAGAAAAATTTAATAAATTATTATATCTATTCAATTCGAGTAGCCTGTATTTTGACCTGGAAACAACGAATTAGAAATGATATGGAAGCATTACTCTCTAACAAAGGCCGCTAAAACATGCTTCCAAACTCATACAACTAAACTTCAATACTAACGTGACACGCACACAGACAAAACAAAATATTTTGACAATTCAAATATCTGCAAATGAATTCGGCTATCCATTCATTGGATAACATTATGTTAACGGAAATCCCTACCAATCCCAAGATCAACGTGTTGATCGCAGTTTCTTCGCCCCGCCTACTTGATCGCAGTTTGCGTGGAACCACTTTTTAACGCAATTCGTATACCATAATATCATTTCTAATTCGTTGCCTGAAAAGAGTTGAACTATATATGCTAAAAAAATTTTTTATCCAAAAAAAAACATTCTAATATTGCATTTGCGCTAAAGCGCAAAAAGTCGATAGCCGGTTGATTGAAGAATAAGACTGAAAGGAAACAAGACTGTTTACTGATTTTTTATTTTATTTTTTTATTTCGGTAAATAGAGACGCCTTGTTCATTCTTCAATAGACTGTGCTTAACATGACGTAGGTACATAACTAAATTACTAACCAGAAAGCACAGTTTTTTTATTATATGCCTAATGACACTAACTTGCTCGCTCCTCAGTCAATAAATCTTAAGTTTAATTTAAGTTGACGCTGTCATTTCTTTGTGATGACAATATAATAAAACAACACGTCAATATGACAATTTAATTAATTGGTCAGAGTATGGGCGCTATATAGTCAATCTGTAGGTTGAGTGGTGAAAAAAAAACCTAAAGGGTAAGTCTTGTTTTTTCTGTTGCCAAATGACGTCAGTAAGCCACCTTGGCGATGGGCATGTTCAACTCGTAGGCGTTTTTTGAAAAACTCAAAAAAACCCTCCAAAAAATTTTGTAACGCATTTTTCTTGCTTTGTATGCATTGTAGAAACTTTTTTTACAACCATAATTGTAGAGGGCGTTGAGTACTACAATTTATGTCAGTGTTGCAATCTCGTACAACAAAAAATGCGCATTGTAGGTGGCGCTAAAGTCTCAAAAAAAAATGTTTTTTCACTTTTTCACCCTGAAAATATCATTTTAATGGAAAACTTTAAATGGAAAAGTTGTTCCGTACATAATTACCAACAACTTTTTTATAAACATTTTTTTTGTATTACTTACCGTTTTCCTTACCTTACTTACCGAAAAAAAATAAAAAATAGTAAAACGTACATTGAAATGTGCACTGCAAATTTGTACTTGAACTGCCCAAAACCGCTCTATTGGATTTTTCATACCTGCGCAATTTATAACTTGAAAACGGTAAGTAATACAAAAAAAAATTGTTTATACAAAAGTTAAACATTTTTTTTTCATGATTGAAAAAAAAATAGTAAAAAATTACATTGAAATGTGCACTGCAAATATGTACTTGAACTGCCCAAAAACCGCTCTATTGGATTTTTCATACCTGCGCAATTTATAACTTGAAAACGGTAAGTAATATAAAAAAAAATGTTTATACAAAAGTTGTTGGTAATTATGTACGGAACAACTTTTCCAATTTAAAGTTTTCCATTAAAATGTTATTTTCAGGATGAAAAAGTGAAAAAACACTCTTTTGAGACTTTAGCGCCACCTACAATGCGCATTTTTTGCTTCACGAGATTGCAACAGTGACATAAATTGTAGTACTCAACGCCCTCTACAATTATGGTCGGAAAAAAAAGTTTCTAAAATGCATACAAAACAAGAAAAATGCATTACAAACATTTTTTGAGGGTTTTTTTGAGTTTTTCATAAAACGCCTATGAGTTGAACATGCCCATCGCCAAGGTGGCTTACTGACGTCATTTGGCAACAGAAAAAACAAGACTTACCCTTTACGTTTTTTTTTCACTGAAACGATATTTTTTTCGACAGATTGACTGTACTAATATTAGAGCGTGTTATCAACGTGTATTTTTATAATTTTATTTATTTTACTTTTTATCAATAGTAAAGAGGGTGAAAGAGTAACTTCTTTGATGTAGATTTCTTGTTGAAGTATTCCAAAATTTTGGAACTTCGAATATAATACGAAGTTTTATCAAAATTACAAATATCATTAACAATGCAAGTTTAAAATAAATATGTTAATTTTCCATTCCTGATCCGGTTTCGAAATAAAAGCTATGAATTGATGGTGTCAATCTTATAAAAGCTTTTTCTGTTTTACTATTTATTTAGAGTGAGATAACGCGAACTGAGAATGTAAAGAAATATTATGTATGCTTTTTTATATTAATATAAAAACCTCTTACAAATTTGGTATTACAGTCAAAAAGTATGATAGAGTACCACTTTTAGACAAAAAATGCTAGAATTTGAACGAGACAATGAAAGGAAATCGTATAAACTAATTAAATAGAATACAAGCAATTTACACCGATTTCTACTCTACAGCCAAGGACTTGTCTGTAATTAAAATTTGCCCTTTACAAATTAACATTTATACTTATCTGCTGTCATAACTTTGACTGCACATACCCAAACGTAATATTGTAGACCAACTAACTAATTGTAACATTTTAAACTTCCTAATTAGATAGTTTTTGTATTTTGGTAAGTATCATACATTGTGACGAATTCAATATGTGTTCCAAGTTTGATTTGGTTGTGCAAGACTAGCCTTAAATAATATTTAACTTAATGCAACCGAGTTTTTAAGAATATTTATTATGTAAAATTTTCATCTAAGCTTATTTCTGTTAGAAATTCGCTTGCCTACAACACCCGTAAGGCCATTTGTCCACCACCCCTGTCACCGGACCGTCACCGAGAACGAGATAATTTATGTATGAAATCAAAATGACGTGACGGGCTTGCTGTGGACAAACGGCTATAGTAAATGTATGTCCCCTAAATATGCCCCTAAACAGCGTTGCCAGACGTCCCGATTTTAAATCAAAATTAAATGTCCTGCGCGGGACAGGCTCAATCCCGCTTTTCGGAAATAACTCGACTGTGCGTGCAGCTTACTGAGAAAGCGCTGGCGGGTGGCACAGACAAGTGTGGACTGGCCACCTGCCCGGCGCGTAATGAAAGAACTCAAACAAAGACAACTATTTAACGATAGGGTAAATCTGATTTAAAATGTCATATTTTTATTAAAATACATTTTCTATGGATATTTTTAATAAGTACATTATAGTACTAGTAGTGTATATTATTCCTATCTATTGTCACGTAAAGGAAATTTAAACTCAAATAAAAACATAAATATTCAAAAAAAAAATATTATGTATGTTTTTGTGCCGCTTTCGACAAAAGAATCCCGCTTTTTTCACTCAAAAAGTTCCTTAATCCAGAGTTGGCAAAAAAAAATCTGGCGACGCTGCCCCTAAATATCATAGACGCATAGAGATATCAGGTTTCAGACTGCAGGTTAGTTAGTGTTTTTAGCTTTCGATATTAAAAGTGTCTGGCAACAAAAACTGCTGACAGAATGTGTCTGGCAGTTATTAATTTCAAATTGTTTACAATATTTCTGCAACATACTTAGGAATCAGTCCTCAGACTAAGTAAAGTGAGTAAAATTTTTACGATCCTGTGCCACCTGATACCGAAAAATTGCCCCACAGCACAAGTTAGCAAGTATGCAAACGTTTTTATCATTTTCAAGTTTTTATAATTCGTATTTTGTCCATGAGAAAATAAGTAAGGTCTGGCGGTCTTTGGATCTTGTACTATAAAACATTGTAATGCTTTAGCTACTTCGCCGGTTTGTCCACCGCGATAGTAGCGACTCGGCACCGGCACCGTCATCTCATTTGACGTTCCGCTGACGACCGTGGTGGACAAACAGCCGAAGTTGCTAAAGCATTTCAATGGTTTATCTTAGTAGCTACTAGGTAATGAACATTTTGTATATTATTAGATTGAGATGATATTTTATAGTTACAAGAATTATATACTTATTTATATTATTTGATTTATATTACCTAAATACATATTTATATAAGTCATAGCATTACAACATTTAATACGCTAATCGAACTCGGTCGTTTATTTTGCATTTCTCTTCAAATATCACTATAAAATATACTTTTAAATTACATGATTCTCTGAGGATCTATCGCTTAATCCTAAACGAACGCCTGGGCCTCACAATACATAAGGCTACCCGTGTTAGTAATTCGTTGTATTTTTCATTTTTATAAACCACCTATGAACGCTTTCTTTTTTGGGTTTTTGGTTAGTAAATAAAGTTTTTTTTGTATCGCTAATTTAAAAAGAGCACACAGCTTCACGTCTCTGTTTCTAATGATGCTTATATTGTTGTTTTCTTATTCCGGCACTTCACCTATTTGCTATTTGTCATTTTGAGAACAGGTTGTCCTTAACATTATCTGTAGGAGGAACCTAAAAGTGAAGATTGTTGCCAAGTTTACAAATAACAAATACGAATAGTCATGTAAAGTGCCAGCATTAAATACAAATACAAATTAGGTGGGTAATATGGGTAACAGCAAATTTCTTCAGCAAAACCACAAACATAAACTTTCGCAGTAGACGTTTTTGTATGTGAAATTGCCACTGCGCAGACTTTCTTGTCTACGTTAGACGCTCAAGAAGTTTGCCGGTGTTGTCTACCTACCTAGCCTATTGACAATAATGATCAAGTCTCATGCATCATTATTTATATCTCATAAACAACAGTGGTGGCTTCGATACCAGGAAATTAATTAATGAACCGATAATTTGATAAATATATTTGACATTATAAGTAATTTATATGTAAGTACCTATTTATTTGTATAATAATTATTAAGCTAAATTGTACTTGATTAATGTTATAAGTATTTTTTTTACAAAATAAAACATGTTCGCCTTAATATCAATAATGTATTATTAATTATCTTCTTCAAAAATGAGAGCTACATTTTGTGCTAACACTAAAGCTGTTCGGGGGTGGGATCTTCTATTGACATTTAGACATACCTATTGTTTACATACATAGTGTTTTTAGTTTGAGTATGATTAAAAATAATCAGTCACCCTGCCGGCCTGCATGTTGCTTCGTCACGCCTCTTTTAAAGGATCCCAGGTTGTAAGAGGGAGGGAACACGTGAGCGGGTAGAGCATTCCATTTACGGATAGTGCGAAAAGAAACGAGTCACCAAATTTCTTTGTACCAAAGGCGGATCCAGCTTTGGCGCCAGGGGGGGATCATATAGTCGTGGTATATTAAATATTGAAAGTACTTAAATAAAATCCCCCTGGGTTTGGTCCATCTGTACCCAGCCCAGGGGGGGACCCCCATGACCCCCCCCCCCCCCCCCCCCCTGGATCCGCCCTTGCTTTGTACGCGGTGGAATTGTGGTCACATTTAGACGGTGACAACGTAGGCCAGGCGCGTGTGGTCCTCTGAATCAAAGGAGAAGGTGGAATAAGAGAGAATAACTCCTCAGTACACTCGCCGTGGTACAGATGATAGAACGCGCTTAGTGACGCCACGTCACGGCGTAATCGCCGATGATGCGGATCGCGCACCGCTGTATCCTATCCAAAGCATCGAGCAGGTACTTGGAGGAGCAATTCCAGAGGTGCGAGCAATATTCCACGCAAGACCGCACCTGCGTCTTATACAACAAGCACACTTGCTCGGGTGTGAAAAAACGCCGCACCTTGTTCAGGAACTCCGAGTTTGCGTGAGGCCGTTTTTATCACACTCGATGTAATTCTTTAGATTTAAGTCACAGCGAATTTCCATACCGAGCATGGTGATACCTCTCTTTTGCTCCAGTGCTGTGCCCTGAAGAGAAGAACATGAAAGGAACGGTGACGTTTTTGCCGTGAAAGCGCAGACCTGAGTTTTCTTAGCATTGAACTCAACCAAGTTTTGGGTATCTCATTCAGAAATGTGGTCCAAAGCCTGATTGAGTTCAATGACAAGATTTTCCCGTTTCTCCTTGATTACCGCCTGTCCAGGCGCTGCTTGTCTGAGATACTCCGCATACACTACTATCGTCTGCATAGCAATGAATATTTCCAAGAGGAATTAAGTCATTGATATGCAGCAGAAAGCGAGTGGGGGATAGGACGGAGTCCTTAGGAACGCCGGCATTCACTGACATTCAACGCCGGCATTACATCCGTAAGGACACGAAATCTACGCTCATGCAGGAAGTCAGCTACCCAAGAACA